AAAAAAAAAAAACAAACAAACAAACAAAAAAACCCCAAGGACAGGGTTGGGGGAGCTTCTGGATAGCAGAGCTGAATATGAGGCTCCGTACCCCTTTCCCATACCTTGCCCTACACATCTCTTCATCTGTATCTTCCATAGTATCATTTATAATAAACCAGTAAACATGTTTTCCTTGGTTCGGTGAGCTGTGCTAGCCAGTCAAACCCAAAGGGAGAGTTGTAGGAACTTTAAGCTGGCTGATCAGAAGCTCTGGAGACCCAAACTTCCCACTCATGGGAAGGAGAGGGTGGTCTTGTGGGACTGAGCCTTTAACCTATGGCATCCGAGGCTATCTCCAGGTGGACAGTATCAGAGTTGAATTGGAGAATGTCCAGCTGGTGACTGCTGCAGAATTATTTGCAGGTGGGGAGTAGTCCCTTGTTTGGCCTCAGAAATACTGTGTTGATTGCTGTGTGGTGAGAGCAGAGGGGAAACACGATTCCAGTTGGCTTTTCCGCAGACAGCAGGGTGAATATGCTCACAGCCGCTCTCAACTGTGCAAAGGGCACCCTGGCCCCCACTCCAAGAACATGTAGCCTACCCAGTGTAAGGTAGCATCTCACTGTTGGTTTGTATTTCTTATTACCACGGGGTTTGAGCCCTATTTGGGGATCCCTCTTCCCGATTGGGCTGCTTTTTCTTGCTGGTTTGTAGGAATTCTTTGTATATTTTAGATACTAGTCCTTTCTGGTTATAGATGTAGCCAATCTCTTCTTTTGGGCTGCTATGTTATAGTCAATGGGGCATTTGTCAAGCCAGAGTCCTGGGAAGTGATGTGACAGGATGTCTACCTGCTCCCAGGTATACACAGCACACCCCTCTGAGCCTCAGGTCCCTTTTCTCTGTTTCTGGCTGCCATTATCATGGACCCTGACCAACCACTAAATGACCAGGCCAGAAACACGACACCACCTTCCCTGCCTCACAGAACCCCCACATCCTGCCTCCTGCACCCCTCCACCCCACTGGCATACTGTCAAAGCCCTAATGAGGGCGCAGCACCTCCTACCTGTAAAACCCAGGACCCATAGAGCAGATGGTGTAGTTCAGAATTGCCACCATGACGCCCTCTGCTCAGTGTCAGCCCTGCTGGTCCCTCCACACCACACTGCTCTCTGCCATAACCACAGCACCTCCCAGGCCCAGGTCCTCTCCTCTGGGCCTTGCACCTGCTGTTCCCAGAGCTTG